AAAAAAAAAAAAAAAAAAAAAAAAAAAAAAAAAAAAAAAAAAAAAAAAAGCCAACCTGATTTTAATCCCGCAGAAAGTACTCCGGATGCAGAAGAGCTTACAACGGCATCATAGTGGGATGTGTCACCTCTAATCTATCATAAGCAAGTAGTTCGTGATATTAATAAGTGCACCCAAGACTAGATATATTAAAGGACTAGATATATTAAAGGACTAGATATGTGTTACGGGAAATCATACCACAGCTCCAATGCATAAGACAGCATGGTACTTTCCAGATCTCCCAAGCCTTTCAGCAACCACAGGAATATCAAAGCTCCCCGGAACCCAGACAACCTGATATGAAAGCGAGGTAAATAATAAATTCAACATGTCAACCAAAGTTAATGCTGCATGCCAACTAGTAGAGGGCAGATACACGTTCTCTCTCAATGCAAAGCTGACGAAAGTTCTATGTTCTGCTTTCCTCTGTCGCTCAGATTCATTCATCCTACTATACTTAAACCCATAATATCTAGTTAAATTTGTTTACTTACTCACATGATATACATGAGAATCTAGTTCCAATGTTTTTAAAGGATAAAGGCAGCCTTAAAACTTTTCCTTAGAAGAGGCGAGGCAACAAGCCTCAAATCTAATTAAAAACATTTACAAATCCTATATTGGTAGGACCAAGTATAGCTAAACATAATATTAATATAAGGGTTTATAAAAAAAATCACCCCGGTAGATAGCCACTTCAACAAAAATTCTAAAAATGATAACTTTAACATTACTACTAATATCAGTAATAGAATTGGGTTAGACTACAAACTTTGGCTTCAGTGTTCTTAAGGTCGCAATAGTAAAAGTAGAAATGTTCAAATTATCACAACTCAAACCTTTATGTTTTGTAAGAAAGAGGTAAATTAAGATTATTCTTCTAATCAATACTTAAGGCCAAGCGACTTTAATCCTCCATGCATTTTCATTTCACAGAGGCGCGTGCCTCTTATGGTTCAAAGAAAGCATAAGTTTTGAGGCTAAAATTTATGAGTCTTGCCTCACCTCGAGGTGTAAACTCCAATAGTCTTTTAAAGCATTGCCAAACATATTTATTCACACACTCGCTCTGCCCATATGCTTAATGGTGTTATAAACCTGTTTACTGTTTCAATTAGTTAAAATAAAGGAATCTCAGTTTCTAACAATAGAAAAAAAAAGACTAGATGATGCGACTTTCGCAATTTGTATATTGAAACGCTTACATCAATATCCTCATCTTGAACTGAATAACTTTTGAATGTAGACAAAGCTCCCTCGAGCATTGGCCTTGTCACAATTTCGTTAAACCGCCCCACAACCTTCATCAAAGCAAAAAGAAGTATTTAATAATGACAAACCAAACAGCGGGATATGCAAGCAAGAAAAAACATCTATTTCATGGTTAAATCTTACGAGTCTATCGTCAAAAAATGACACGCGGGAAAAAAGCTCATATTAGACTCATGATAACAGAATTCGCTCTGAAGGCTGCAGCGAAAAGGCTTGTAAGAATTTCAGATTTATACATCACAAGAATACACGGCCATGCTTTGAATTCATTGTAGCCAAGTCAAGAAATTACTCATTGTCGCAGCCACAAATGCGACGACCACCTTTGAATTGGTTGCAAGCAACAAATCAAAAGAATGCTTCTTACAAGCGAATAATTTCTAAGACGAGACAGCATCATGTAGAAGCATGTTTCTCAACTAGACTATACCTTTTTAGGTAGACGATAAGAAAAAACCACTTCAGACGCCGAGACCTCACAAGTCCAAAATTATTAACAAAAATACCTAAAGAGGAACCTCAAAAACGAACAATCAGAACTTCCAGAATCAAAAGAATAAGAAGACGAAAAAAAAAAAGAGCAGTGAAGAGAAATGACCACAGCAAAGCGAAGGCCACCAGCTTTGGCAAGAGAGCCGACGATGTGGCGAACGGCGGCCGTCTGCACAAAAGAGCAACGGTGATCCTTTCTCGGAAAGACATCATTAGCAAGCTTCAATTGATACGAAAAGGAAAGGGGATGTGATTTTGCAGGAACTGGCCCCTGAAATTGAAGTTGAGTGCGATTGAAGATGGAATCGGAAAATCCGAGCGTCGGATTTCGACAATGAACCAGGCCCTGAGCCGGAGCCGTAAATGAGGCGGCCATTATCAACCCGAAAGAAGCAACACGACGACGACGACGAAGATGAATAGTGCGCGATTCTGAATCAGAGAGATGCTTATATAATCACTTCTTTATTACGTTTCATCTGAAATAATAACCAAAATTATCAACAATAATAATTATCTTATAATATTTTTAAATTAAAAAACTCAAAAAAATATTTAAAAAAAAAAATCATACATTAATATTAAACTTTCTAAAGTTTAATAAATATCTTTAATTTTTTTAAATTAAATAATTTTTATCAGTTTCACATTTTGAATATCAATAAGTAAACCATTAAACTTTTTTGAAATTAGTATTATTTTTAAACTTTATAAATAAAAATTATAAAACATATTATTGTTGAAATTTTCAAACTTTTTAATATTATATTAAAAAATTCATGAATACTTTTAAACGTGTTATTAATATTAAATATAAACTTCAAAAAATTGTATTAATGAAATTTAAAAGTTATTTTTTAAAAAAGTAAAAATCTTCCATTTTAGAAAAAAGAATCTTTTTGGTGGAGAATTCTAAAAAGGTTTGTGTTCATAAATAAATTATTTCACTTAAATCAACCTAATAAGGTGGCACCCACGTGGCATTGAATAAAAGTAATATAATAATGTGACGTTTTAAAAAAATAAAGGTAATATAATAATGTGACATTTTAAAATAAGGAAGGTAATATAGTGAAATAGAACAAGTAATATCCACGTCCATAAATTTCTTTTAATTTGAAAAATTAATTTAATGGATAATTTATGTTCTTTACGTGAAAATGATTTTTTTTTTTTGTCTGAAATTAATATTATTAAAATCTTATAAAACTTTTCATTCTATTTAACATATGTAATTTAAATATAGAGATAAATTAATAATAACTGGAACCCAAAATTAGAAAATAAAATTATAAATTAGAAAATTCTTTTATAAATCCACGTGTTAAATATCCATTGGGTAGAAGTCGATTTTGCATGGAAAAAAAATAGCAATATGCTACGTATTAATTATTATCATTTAATTATATTCTTAAAAATCTTTAAATTTTTTCTGCCGCGCAGTTGAAGGAAACTATTCTTGATATTATATCAAGTAAAAAGGTTGGTTCTGTTCAAAATTTCGAGACCCTTCTTCCTCAGTACCATTCCTTTACGCTATTTCCCTTTCTCCAGAGAACATGATGCAGAGCCTCGGCGGCGACGGCGAAGTAATCAACAAGCAGGTGATTCTAAAGGACTATGTCACCGGAGGAACTGCTAAAGAGTCGGATCTGGAAGTAATCTCCACCAGAACCATCAATTTGAAGCTCCCCAAAGGCTCCGATGGAGTTCTCCTCAAAAATCTGTACCTCTCCTGCGATCCATATATGCATGCCTGCATGAACAAGATTGAAAATCCGTCGATTGATATTGTTTCGTTCAGTCCTGGTTTGGTACAAGACGCTTCGAAGTCGTTTCATCGCTTTTGTACTTCCGATTGTGAATTTATTTCTTTGTTTTGCAGCCTATTAGGGGATTTGGAGTTGGGAAGGTTGTGGATTCTGGTCATCCGAAGTTTGGGAAAGGCGATTTCGTGTGGGGGAGCACGGGGTGGGAAGAGTATTCTGTGCTTTCAAGATTGGAATCTGATAATCTATTTAAAATTGATCATACGGATGTTCCTCTGTCTTATTACACAGGGATTCTTGGTATTGTTCTTGTTCTTGTTCTTCCTCACATGATTTCTTTTGTTTGGATCTTGGAATGCTTTTTTGACTAAGTTAATCGTAGGTGTGACTGGGATGACTGCTTATGCTGGTTTCTTTGAGATCTGTTGTCCTAAGAAAGGAGAATATGTGTTCGTCTCTGCTGCTTCTGGGGCTGTTGGCCAGGTTGTTGGCCAGGTTGCCAAGTTTATGGGGTGTCATGTGGTTGGCTGTGCTGGTAGCCAAGAGAAGGTTTGATATTTATATATATATGTTGTCTATGGTTGTGAGATTTCAGATCGGTTGGAGTGGTTGGAGTTGGAGAGGAGAATAGAACAACGAAACATTCCGGATAAGGGTGTGAAAAATCGTGAGGCTGATGGTGATATGTAATGGGTCAAAGCGGACAAAATATCTACTACTGGTGAGCTTGGACACTGGTGTGCCAGCAAGGACGCTAGCACCCAAGGGGTGGATTGTGAGATCCCATGTTGGTTGGAGAAGAGTGTGAAAATGGTAGTAGATCCAGAACGGTGTGCCAGTGAGGACGCCGGGCCTTCAAGAGGGTGGATTGTGAGATCCCACATCAGTTGGAGAATAGAACGAGACATTCCTTGTAAGGGTGTGAAAATCTCTTCCTAAGAACAAGACATTCCTTGTAAGGGTGTGAAAATCTCTTCCTAATAGATGCGCTTTAAAGCCGTGAGATTGATGGCGATACGTAAATGATCAAAGCGGATAGTATCTGCTAGCCGCTTGGGCTGTTACAAATGGTATCAGAGCCAGACACCGAGTGGTGTGCCAGCGAGGACGCTGGCCCCCAAGGGGTGGATTGTGAGATCCCACGTTCGTTAGAGAATAGAACGAAACATTCCTTATAAAGATGTGTAAACCTCTCCCTAACAAACGTTTTGAAACTATGAGGTTGATTACGATACGTAATGGGCCAAGCGGACAAAATCGGCTAGCATAATCTTTCAATCTTTCAGTTAAATCCAATTTTGGTAGAAGAACTCTCATATCCCATTCATTATCAGATTGATTTGCTGAAGAACAAACTTGGGTTCCATGAGGTTTTCAACTACAAAGAAGAGCCAGACTTGGAAGCTACTCTGAGAAGGTATGTTTTTCTTTCTGTATAAAGATTGCAAGCGATAACATGTTTGGGCTGGCTGCGTATCTGTTTGCTTGTTCAGATGTTTCCCCGAAGGAATAGACATTTACTTTGACAATGTTGGAGGGAAGATGTTGGATGCTGTTCTTGTTAATATGAGGAGGAATGGCCGGATTGCTTTATGTGGAATGGTAACTGAGTTCCAAAAGGACAAGCCTCAAGGTGTTTATAATTTGATTCATGCTATAGGAAATCGAGTTCGTCTAGAAGGGTTTATCATGAGTGATTACTTGCATCTCTATCCTAAGTATTTGGATTTTGTTCTGCCTCTCATAAGAGAAGGGAAGATTGTGTATTTGGAAGATTTAGCTTATGGCCTCGAGAGCGGTCCATCAGCTCTCATCGGCATCTTGACGGGTCGTAATAAGGGTAAACAAGTCGTCGTCATTGCAAAGGAATGAGTGGTCAATCATCTCTCATCGACATCTTGTCGGGTCGTAATAGGGGCAAACAAGTCGTCGTTGTTGCAAAAGAACAAGTGTTCAGGTTTAGCCTGGTTAGAATGGTTTGGCTTCGAATGTATTTAAGCATGTTTGAAAGACATTATCATGGAAGATAGTTTATTTCTACATGGAATTGAAAGACAAATGAATGTAAGATAAAAGATTATATTGTTACCTAGATGATTGACGCAGCCATTGCTTGGACAAATTCATCAATGTTCTTATCAGAGCTGCCTCCTTCATCCATGGCTTCTTTAGCCAGTTTCTTCCACTTGATTGAGTTCTGTTTAATCTCATTTGGTTTCTCTCCTTGAACAACCTTTCGGATCGAGGCCTCTAGTTCTTCCTTTGTCGCAATGCCTTTGTCGTTCTTCTTCACTCGAACTCCGACTTCCCAAACATCTGCGACGAACTTGGCGTTCGTCGTTTGATCGACCCATTGGGGGATTGCAACCATTGGCACCCCCAAGCTCAATGCTTCTATGGTTGAATTCCAACCACAATGAGTCACGAAACAACTTACTGCCTTATGAGATAGAACTTGTAGTTGACAACACCAGTTCACGATTAGGCCATGTTCTGATGTATCTTGAACGAAGTTGTTAGGAAGCTTTCCTAGTTCTGATTCTCTCAGAACCCACAAGAAGGAAAGATTCGTGTCTTCAAGAAAACATGTCAGTTCATTTACTTGTTCTATTTTTAAGTTAACCAAACTTCCAAATGAAATATATATAATCGAAGCAGTTTCTTTCGAGTCTAACCACTGTATGGCCTTCTTTCCATCATTGGGATTCAAAACATTCAACCCATAGGCTTTGTCGTCCACCAATCGACCGTCCAAATATGCCGATGGAATTGTCGGCCCCACTGTCTTAATGGGCAATGTCTTGGTCATCCAATTAACCACCTGATATTGTATTGTTTCAAATTATTCAAGTAATTAAATATTCTTGAAATTCTAGCTTAATTTACATAAAATAACAATGATGAATATTGAATTATATTTTCTATTAACTTCCAAATTGATTAATTAAACGTAACTACTATTTTTTTTAAAAAATTAATACTAGTTCTAAACAATTTATTCTTAGAATATATAATCATTTATATATAAAATATCTAAATCCTCTAAATTATTTTTCTAAAATAGTTCTACAATATTTAAATTATTTTTCTACAATAAATAAAGCTCCTGATAATTATTGGGCTGTGACTCTTTGATCGTATGTCACTTGAATTTTGAATTTTAGCTATCAAAAAAAGTTCAGATTAAAATCGTGATTGAAGCATCAATTACCTTGCATTCGAGCCGATCAAACGTGTTGAAGAAAATCCACTTTACTTTCTCCAAATTGATGAACTGACTGGTCATGAAGTCCAAAACCACAACTCCATCGTCAGGCAAGGCAGGCAGATCTGCTGGTTGAAGAACAATCTCCGATGGTAGCGAAACCGCTACATCCTCTGGTGGCGGAATGCTCAGAGATCCTTTATAGACGAGATCTAGGATGTGATTAACGGCGGCGGATTGTGTGAAAAACGGAGCCGCATCCAAACCACGCTCTGCAGCGACGCTCTGCACCCAGGGCATAACAGAGTCGTAAACTATAAGACTCGGAAGAACTTCATTGGAATCAGAAATTAGGGATTCGTCGATGAAATTGGCCAAGGATTTGGAGGCGGCGGCTCGGAAGCTTCGGAGATAGGCGTCGAGACTGTCGATGTTGTTGGATTCAGGAACATCGGAGATGACTTTGTGATGGATCGGAGAGGGAGGGAGATCGAGAATTAGGGATTGACTTGCTGAGGAAGTGGTGAGGAATGTGAGGAGAAAGCCTTTGGAGACTAATCGCTTCGCGAATTGGAGCATCGGATTCATGTGGCCGTGCCTTGGGAAAGGGAATACGATTACATGATTCTGTTTCATCTCTCCTCCTCCGTTCACCGTCGTCTTCTCCATTTCCGGCGACCGATTGACGATTAGTTTCTGTCGGAGATGAGAATGCTGTAGTAGTTGTTCATATGGTGAAGATAGCGCCAAAATCAAAGATCCAATCAAATTATTTATTTTGCCGCTCCCTTTTTATTTTTATTTTTATATTCCAAATTCTCTCTCTCCAATTATTTATTTATCTTTTAATTTAATATTATAAACATTAAATATTCATATTTAACTTAACTTAATTTCTAAAAAATTTAGAAAAATCTAATTTACTTTTAACTCAGGTTTGGGTTAGATGATTCGAGTTATTTGGATTATCTGGTTGAGTTGGATGGTTCGTATTATTTGGATTGTCGGGTCACATGAACATTTTTATCTATTCTGTCATTTTTTTTTTCGACCTTAAAAACATAAAAATAAAAATAAAAATAAAAAATAAAATAATTATGAAAGAAAGCGTAAAGGTTCAACAATACATTATTATTATTATTATTATTATTATTATTATTATTATTATTATTATTCTAATTTTCCATTTTGAGAATAATTATATTCAGATGCACGTGAAACACGATTTTTCAATTTTGGATAAAATATGGGTTTGATTATTGTATTTTTAGTTTGATTTTATTTTAATTCATGTAATTTAAAAAAATATTATTATGTTATTGGTGTATTGTTCACATCATTTAATGAAAATTAATAAAATAACATATGAAATGTTAATTCATGATTACAAACTAATTATATCTAATTAATTTTACTAAAATGGAAGGCCTTAAGATTTTTTAATCTAATTTTGCTTAAAATTAATGATTTCTTTAATCATCCAATAAAGTAATTAAGTTAATTTAGTGGCTAAATCAATCCTTCTTGTTTATGCAATAATTAGAATTTTTTAAACTAAAATCCATTAAAAAATAGAAAATTAATCATCTATATACGTATACGTATGTATGTATGTATATATATATATATATATATATATATATATATATATCTGTGTGTGTTTATTGAAAGTTAGAAAAAATAATCATTTTGGTTAAAGTCTTCGTTTTGCGATATAAAATTTGTTCGCTTAATATCTTTTTTCGGGTTGAAATATTTGAACTTTTAATTAATTGGTCGGAGTAATATCCACAATAGTGAACCTTGAAATCTCGTTCGTGTTTCTAAAATAATCTTTTAAGCCTCTAAAGTCATGTTTTAGTGCATTTGTAGTTGAATTCCGAGAAATTCTCCTCCAAAACAATGCAAAATAAATTAATATAAATCAAAACTGTCGAAATTGTCGAGATGCTAAGGGAAATATCTCAACATTGTCCCAAAAATCCCTAAACGCACGTTTTTTTTTTGTAAAAAAGAGCGTTATGTTACATTTCACATCATTCAAATACTATAAAATCTCAACGCTACCAATATTGAAAAAGATCAACAATGCTTATAACCTCGGAGACTTGCTTTATTTCCTCCTCTTTTTTCTCGAGTTCTTCAACTCATGTATTTGGCTCACAATTGTTCAATTCATGTCTAAATTTTCTTGATATGGTCTTCAAAAGCTTTATTTCGCTCCAAATGCTCGATTTCTTCAAAATATTTATGCACGTAAATTATCCGATTAAGCATCAAAACGAGTCTAAAAAAGATTTAGAAATAATTTAATTTTGTGCTCGATTAGATACCCACAAACCCAAATTTTTACGAGAAAAATAGAAATAAATACTCACTCTAACCTTCGATTTCGACTTACACTACAACACGAAATGAGCAAAAGCTCGTATTATTTGATTTTGGGGTATCCCCAAGTTCATAAAACTAACTTAAGAAGAGTCAAGAAGCTTGCTTGATCATGGCCACGAACTCCATAATGTCCTTATCAGAGCTCCCACCTTCATCCATGGCTTCCTTTGCCCATTTCATCCACTCCATGGAATTGCTCTTGAACTCATTAGCTCTCTCTCCCTCCATCACTTCACAAATGCAGCTCCTTATCTCTTCCTCACTTGCCAACCTCTCCTCATTCACCTTCACCCTCTTCCCAACCTTCCAGACATCTTCTAAGAACTTGGCATTAGTCACCTGATCAGCCCACTGTGGGAAAGCCACCACCGGTACGCCCAAGGATAGTGCCTCGAGTGTCGAGTTCCAGCCGCAGTGTGTCAAGAAGCATCCGACCGCTGGGTGTGCCAGGACCTGGAGCTGGGAACACCAGCTGACCATAAGACCCTTCTCCCCAACACTCTCCATGAAATTGGGAGGAAGCTTCTGAGATTCGGTTTCCCTCACAACCCACAAGAAGAATTTGCCACTTTCCTTGAATCCAAGAGCCATGTTCTTGAGCTGTTCTTCTCCCAGTACAACCAGACTTCCATAAGACACATATAGAACAGAGCCAGGGGGCTTGTTGTCTAGCCATTTTAGACACTCATCCTTGTTTGGATCGAACAGGCTCAGCCCATAGTACTTGTCGTCCTCTAACCTTTTGTCTAAGTAGGCTGATGGAAGAGTTGGTCCTATGGCTTTCACTGGCCTCCCCCAGCTCTCCATCCATTTGATAATCTGATCAATTCGCATTCTAGATTCAGCAACATTACTAATTTCATTTCTACATCCAAAATTGTATACAAATTGATTTTTCTGCTGAGCGGATCATAATTTTGAGGATCAATAATGGCAGAACAGAGATAGAAAACATGTGCACTACCAAATTTCTAGCGATCGAAGACTTTGTTAGATTCATTTTATAGTTCAAATTTTTTAAAGTTTAGAGACATTAGAAAATACTTTTGGAGTGGATCGTGTAAAAAATGTTCGGAAAAAGGGGGAAAAAACATACCTCCCCTTCCAATTTGTGAAAAGTGTTGCAGAAAAGCAGATCCGCATCTTGAATATTGGAATACTGACTGGTGAGAAACTCGATTATAGTTTCAGTGGAGGCAGGATCGTAATCATAAGCAGGAAGATCGTTAGTGCAAAGCAGAGGCATAGACGGCAACGAAATAGTAGGAGAATCAGGAGGAAGCTTCAAATGTCCATGAAGAACATGATAATTTATACTGTTTAGGGCACAAGATTGAGTGTAAACAGGAGCCCTAGGCAGTCCGAACTCCTTGGCAACCTCCAAAACCCAAGGCATAGTGGAATCGTAGAGAATGAAACGAGGCGGATTCGAAGAATCCATGACTTCTCGCAAGTAATTCTCCAAATTCTTCGACATCTTCTCCCGAAATCGATCCAAAGTTTGGCGCATGGTGTCGGTGTCTTGGCGATCCTCAGAGCCATCGGAAATGACTCGAATCCTGACGGAATCGGCATAAGCGCCCTGGAATTTCAAATTCCGGCTGACATGCAAGGTTGTGAGCAGAGTTACCTTGATTCCATTGGCGATTAGGCGCTTGGAGAACTGAAGCTGAGGGTTTATGTGGCCCTGTGATGGAAACGGAAACGCTATGATATGCCGATCCTCGCCTTTCTCCATTACAACTACTTCTTCTTCTTCTTCTTCTTCTTCCTGGAGAAGCTCTTGAAATAATGGCGGCAAATATAGAGCTTTTTTATTTTTTATTTTTATTTTTTTATTTTCTTTCAATATTTTAAGCTTTTAATCGAACAAGTACAATACTAATAATAACACAAAAACAAAAAATAATTGGTCTAAAAGAGTTTTTATTTTTCATTTTTTTTATATGGATTATTTAACCTAAAATTAAAAAAAAAAAATCAAATTTTCATAATTATTTAGTTTTTAAAAATTATACTTGCATTTTATTTTTTATTTCTTTCTAATAAGCCAAATATATTTATTTTTTTGATTCACAGCATAATATATTTAACTTAATTATTAAAAAAATTAGATTTAACGAAATATTTTTTTATTATTTATTAATATATTGCTAAATAAACTTTTAGTAATTATTTTGTAAATATATTATGGTGTGAATGAAGATCAAATTTAATAAATCTGCACAGCGTGAATCACGTTTTTGGGCCAATAATTAAATAAATATTATTTTAGAATAGAAAAGTCAGGATTTCGAGAAATATAATATTCATTGGAAATAGATTTTAATTTTAATTTATATTATTTCTTTTATTAACTTTTTATATGAATTTTGTAAATATATTTATATTATGTCTTGTATTGTACCAAAATAATTTATTTATTTAACATTATTTTCTTTTATATTTAAAATTTTCGTCAAAATTAATTATCTTTTTTTAATTAACAATTTATCGCTCGTTAATATATATATATATATATATATATATATATATATATATATATATATATATATATATATATATATATATATATA